GTCGAGTAGCAGCAGCCGCGCAAGTCGCAGCAGCAGCAGCAGCAGCAGCAGCAGCCGGAGGCGCAGGAGCAGGATTAGCAGTGGTAGCAGTACGAGTAGCAGCAGCAGGGTAGTAGTACTCGTAGCAATAATAGTAGTCGTCGTCGTACTAGAAGAACGTTCACCGAGGCACTCATCGGAGCTCCATCAGGTAATGAGTACCTCCCCTGAGACCTTGGTCAGATCCAGTGCTCTGGTTGTTGTCGTTGGATTCTCTGGCTTTACGGCGCTGATTTTGATCAGAACTGTTCGTCACAACAGCTTGGCAAGGCTTCCGCAAGCTGTCTTCGAATGAACTGACAACAGCACGCGTGCAATGTGGGCTCAAGCACCTGAAGGCAAGACCGAAGCCTAACCGGGCCTAACCTGTTTCCATCAGGGGACAAAGTGTCGTTCAGCTTTTGCCGCTGCTCCGAAGAATCGGTGATGCTGAGGATAATGGATCGCGACTGTTCCTCCTCTGACATCCGGCAATAGGAAATGAAGGTCATGGGGGTGAATGGAGAATGTTGGGTGGCGGAATAGTGTTGGGACTTCGGGATGTTATTTCGAATTCCTGTGGCACACGTCGACTTAGATGCAGCGCGGGAGCAACAGGCCATCGTGCGACACCATAAGCCCCCGCAAAACATACTGAGCACCGGAAAGCATAGCACAGACAATTAGTTTGTGCGTCCAATCCCTTTACGAGTGGTCGGCGTCCCAGCCCTTGAACCTTGCACTAATGGGCGATGTCTCAACCCCCGTTGTGACCTCCAGCATAAGACAAAGATGTGAAGAAATGTCCTTCGATGTTGAACTTCCTACAGTCTAAACACCGAACTTGAGGCCCAAAAACTGGACTTTCACTCTGTCCGGAACAAGAATACCTCCCACTGCAGAGAGTCTTCTGGCGTCGTCTCCTCAGTCTGCTCAAAGGTAATGTCCCACAGCGAGTCGTAGTACAAGCCATGCTCCGGGGTTACCTCGTATGCACGTGCGCTAGCCGCTAGCCGCTAGCCACCTCGGCCGAATTAATGCCTGCCACCCATCGTTGAAGACATGCTCGAAATGCTACTGCGTACCATTTCGGGTACATGTCCAAACAAGCGATGGTCAGGCTTCATGATTTATGCTCCTGCGACTGCGAATGACAGATGCTTGTACACGGGTTCTATGTAAACTCATGGAAAACTGCGTCGTCATGGCTTAGGGAAGGCTAGTGCGGTCCAGTCTCTGCCACAAAGCGAACACCACCATTGATGTATAGTCCACGGGTGAGGGGGAAGGTGCTGCTGTTGACCCCGTAGTAAATTGCACCCTTGGTGTTGTCCCAGACATACCTGAGGTCTATAGCACTGTTTGATCATGAATGCTCGGTCTCTTTAGATTTAGCCTGCCATTCGCAGAGTATTGGAGCCCAAGGGACGGATGTCCATCTTTGGAGAGCTCCACCAGATTCCCGCCTTTCCTCATGACCTTTGCACGCACCCCCCGATCGTTTTCCAGCGTCCATGCTGGCACTTCCTCTGTAGTCACCTTCGTCATGTCACCGACATCGAGAAAGTCGGGGGCATAGTACAGCGTGTGCGTGCTTGTGGCCAAGGTCACCCTGTCCAGGAGGTCCTTCTTCGTGACACGATGGCGCTGGGCGAGCATGGACAGACCCTTATCACACCCAGGAGACGATGACCTCGAGCCGGCACAGGAAGCAGAGGGAACTTCATCCTGACGGCTGTGGCCTCTTTGCACGAAGGCTATGAGGAGCAGGAGGCAAGCAAAGCCCATTTTGAACATGCGTCGGCGCGACAAGGGAAGGGAGCTTGAGCCGCAAGGGCCGCAACTGCAGTCTGCACGGCATGTCTGGATCCCGTGTACTCACTACAACATCGAAACCACGAAGCAGACCCAAACCAAGAATGCCTCAGTTCTGACAGCCTGAACCCCTGCATACACCCGAACTGATTTCCCATCTCTTCGGCCCATTTCTTCGCCTCGCTGCTTCGAGTATCTCGCATGGAGAGTGAGCCTTCGGTCCCTTCTGAGGCTAAGAGTTTCCTCCTAGGTTTAACGCCCAGGTTTAGGGTTTAATTGTTAACAACACCGAAGGTTTATAATGAAAGCAAATCCCAAACCCGAGTGAATCACGACCACGGACAGTGTTACCCCCATGTCAAAACTTGCTCCGAAAACGACACCGTCAGCAATACTCATTTTCTCGCGGTGTGTCAGCCCTTGAGGTAGCCTATGGTATATAGATTGAAGGGTTCCAAGGTGCAAGGGAGTTGTTCGGGGCTGGGGTCACAAAGAGCTACCAGTGTCAGACTAGACGGCACAATCCAACATTCACATGTAGGCTCTGGGAACTGGCCCACGGTGCTTCCATTCGCCGCTCCTTAGCCTTTCGCAGTGCATCACAGGGTCCCAGCGCCGCATTTTTTTTGCACTGCGACGGACTAGAGAGTCAACAGACGCGTCCCAAAAATCATGCAATGAATTCGGTGAAAGACCGGAGCAGAAATCCGCGAAGCGGTATGCACCCGGTCGGTGATACTACCTAGTGACTAGTGAGACTGTGAGACAGCTATCCTCCGAGTCCAGAAGGAGACAGTGCCGCCTCGAGGTGGCTCAACAGTGGTAGAATCAACTTCGGACAGGGCCCAACATAAGAAGGCCTCATCGACAGGCGGATCCCCCAAAAGAGAGAGGGGCCAGATGGGCCCGCAACTCAGATCTGGGCGGGCTGAGGAGGCCCCAACGCCTGAAGTGGAGGGGGCGGGGCCCTGTAAAGATCCCACTTGCCTGCCCTTATACCTTTAGCACGCACCCTATCAGCCTGTTCCACCTCCCGAATCTCTGCAAGGGCACGGGCGCAAGTGACAGGCACGCCGCAAGCATGTTTTAGATCCCTTGTAGTGGCGCTGGGCCCGAGAGATCGTGTGAAAGTGGCGAAGGCATACAACACATGTGGCATGATAGGTAAAGAGTCTCGCGGGACATGGGAGCCCGTGTCGACGTGCAACATGGCAACATGCGTGCCCAGGTGTTTACGCAAACGGAAGCGCGAGGGACAGAAAGGACAGGCAATTAAAAGGCAGCCTCTCCTCTGGGGTCGGCCCCGTGGCGGGAGCAGGCTGTGGGCGTTGAGGCTGGTTAACGGCCTGGTGCCAAGCAGCAAGGTCCTGGACGCACAGATGTATGGCAGTGTTGATCTGTCTGCGGCACCACCCCCTGTCACCTTGTATAGCGGTGATAAGTCCACGAACCGGACAAGGCGTTTGGACTCCAGGACAATACAAGGCAATATGGTGCATGTCTTGGAGGAACAGACCCAGCCACGACTTGGCAGGAAGGGCTTCCCACTCAAGAAAGACCAGATGGCGCAGAGTTGCGGGTCCACGCTCAATGAGACGCAACAACAGGCCGGCCCTAGACTTGGCTAGTGCTATAGGGGTGGGGAGCACGCCTTCGCCGAGCGCAGAACCTGAAACGAGTGCAGCTTCTGAGCAAGAGCAGTGCGCGGCTGCAAGGCCTTCCACAAACGCACATACAACTTGGCCCAAAGCCGCCAGTGTCCTGCAACATGCAATTCCAACGTTGCCGTGCTAAAAGCAAACTTGAACACAACAAGCGAATGCAAAAGTGCCCGGCGAGTTGCCCAGGGAATACTTGGATTACCGAAGAGCGTATATCGGAGGGGTCGAAGGCTCCAAGTCGCCTGTGAGTAACGATACCAAACCTCCGGGAATGTGGTGGCAGCACTGGTGATGATGCCACCCAGGTGCTTGTAAGCCTGGACGATGGGCAGGTGGTGCCATATCCCGGTAATGCCGTCACGTACCGGAAGATACCGCTGGGTGGGCCTTATGGGAGGATGGCGGCAGTCTTATCCGACCCAAAAGCGAGCTGGATGCCACAAGACGTGGCATGTGACAAAGATTTCGGTTGCCGCTTCAACTCGGCCGACAAGGTCAGGGACATCGGATCCTGTGTGCATAGCCATGAGGCGGGGCACAGCGCATCCGGAACAACATGATCCTGCCAGGGTGCAGGGCTGGCACCAGGCGGCAAAATGGTGTGGAGCTGCCGGGACTTCAGTGCACGCTGTACCGTCTCAACATACGCGCCGAAACTTAGGGCGAAAAAGATGTCGGCGAGAGGATCTCCGGGTCTGATTCCGGCCGCCGTGGCGACCAAAAGGGGGATAGTGATCGAGTCGAAACCATGTCCCTGTGAACACTTCGGAAGCCAGGGCAATGGCATGCTCTGAGCAGCCACTTTGGGACAGGGAGGCGAGGCGCTCCAGCTGCGCCCGGAGTTCACAAAAAGGCGTGGGCGGGAACGCCAAGCTTTCGAAAGAGGTTGCAGATGACTCGATCATCGAGGGCCTCTCCGGTAAGCGTCTCACGGAGGACTTGATAGTACGCCGCGCGTACATCGTAGAATACGAGGGCCGGCAGCCTCCCTGCGGAGATGGTGAAATTGCGGAAACACTCGAGTCAGCTCTGCTGTGCGCTCTTGCCAGAAGGCCACAGATAAGGCCCGTGCCCCGGTTGGGTCTGAAGGGGCATGTGCAACAAGTATTGCACAGGTGAAGTGCGGGGCATCCACATGGACAGGCAGGTGACGAGGTGAAAATGCCGTAACCGCACAGTGGGAGCACTCAAAGCAGAGAGGACGCCCCTGGTCATAAGTGTATGGGAGGGTTTTGCTGACCCAGAGGGCACATCCGAGCTGACCAGCATCGGTAGCAAGAGGAATGAAGGAGCATGTAGTCTGCCTGCGGCAGGGTTGCAGTCTCCTGCAAACGCGTCTCTTGAAGGCCTACGAAATGCACGTTTAGAGATTCTCAAACCCGCCGAGCTAGTGAGCCCATCGTCGGTGGAGGCCGGGGAGCCGGAAGGCTGGGCTGGACACAGGAGGCACTGGCCTCGAAGGCGAACAGCATGGGTAAGTCAGGCGCGGGCTGAGCTGCAAGCCAGGCCCAGTCAGCAAGGGGGTGCGTGGCAAGCAGGCGAGCTAACTTCGGCAAGGAGTCACTCAACTCATTGCCAAGGTGGCCACGGTCGGGTACATACCCGTCCTCCAACGTGACACGTTGCTGCACGCATTGGCGAAGTATGGTGGCCAGCCAGCTGAGGCTCCGATAGCCGCCCGCAGCGGGTTGCATAGAGGGCTTGGAGTGACAAAACGTCCCTTGCCCCGCAGCCGCAGCCAAGCAATCATACCGCAACGAAATAGGCACTCCGAACGATGGGCCAAATTCAAAGCACCAAAGGAGGGCCCAACAAAGACCCAACACTGTAATGGCGTGTCAGCAACTTCGCCGCCTTCGCCTAGGGAATAAGGCGTGTGTGGGGGTACTGATGTACCCGCTGCGGCACCATAGTAAAAGGCCCGTTGCGGCGTGCACACCCAAACGGATCCGCCTGGCACAGACCTTAGGGGCTCCGTTGTGCCAAAGGCGGAGCCATCAGTGTAGACCTCAACCTTGGTGGCAGATACAGCAGAAGGAGAATCATGCCACAAGGGGACGTCAACAAGGCGGGTGCGGAGGCCAAGTGCAGCCTCTGAAAAATGCAACACAGGCGTCAGGTCGTTGTCCAACCAATCCTGTGCAAGGGACGGATCAGCGACGCTCGGAAGTATGCGTTGTAGCGAGAGACATTGTTGCTGAAAGCGCGACAGCGGAAGAGTGGCAGCTAGAGAAACTTGCAATGGCTGCGAACCACCGACACCAACGGCATGGGTGAAAGTGTTCCTTCAGTGCCTCGAGAAGCGTAGCCGCAAACATAAAGGCCTGGCATGTGGGTTGTGCTGCAGCTGCCTCGAGAGTCTTCCAACCAAACTCCTCCAGCGTATGGCCATCCTTCGGAGGAGGCACGGCAGTGTCAGACGGCACGGAGCCTGGTGCAAGTACCGTGACAGAGGCAGCAGGCGCGGAAAGTGGTGTATCTCCCACCGGCCTTTGAAGTTCGAACGCAGCAAACAAGGGCCTGGGGATGGACCATCGATGTGAAGGGGGCCTGCTCAGCAGCTGATGGAAAGCGACGGGGGTCGCTCACTGCAAGGTCTTGAACACTGAAGTCCTTTGGGACGACGGGCATGGCTGAAAGAAGGAGGCATGAGCTGAGTGGCAGAAGCGTCAGCTGACCTCGGCTCAGAGCAAGAAAGCTGCCTCATGCTAGGAGGCGCATAGTAGGAGCCACCCGTACCTGCGTCGCGGGAAACAGCACCAGAACTGCCTGCAGTGTGCTGTGTGTCACTGCTAGAAGCTGACTCAGACAGGCCATGGAGAACAGTTTGGGAGGGCGCTGCCAATGGTGCTCCCATGGCAGAATCACGCCTGGCCTGAAAGAACAAACACAGTGACAACATCACCTGCTCGGGCATCTTGCAGCAAGCCTGTCATGTGGAGAAGCAACATCGATCGCCCAACACGTGCATGACGGCGAGCGGTAAGAGCACGGGTCGCAGATCCAGTGCGTACAAGGTAGCCTCCGGCACTGGATGCATATCCGGAGCGACCATGTCCCACCGGCCCAGACCAGGGGGATCTGCAGTCTGTGCCCGACCATACGTCCACTGTAGTATGTCTGAAAGCGACAAATGGGGGATGTGATAATGGCCCGGAGGGGAGATCGTCAACAGGTCTCCCGGCTCGACAGGAACAGTACCTTGCTCGGGAATGGGCCAGGGGAGGTCTCGGATGTAGACTCTGTATCCCCATTGTGAGGTAACACCAGCACAGTTCAAAACCCCTGTATGGCTAGTAACAGCGGGAGAAA